GCGCGACGATCCAAGCGTGAAATTGTAGGTATAAAAAAGAGATGAAACTTATATTCGTATTTGCAGAATCAAAATTAAGTTGTGCACAATCAAGATGCAAGGTTATAGTAGCACCGGCAATGAGAGAGCGAGGGGAGTTGTACATGGAAAGTCATGCTCGTAGCACGTATGTATGATTTCTACATTTAAATATCATTTTAGCTTTGAAAATCGTTTCGTGATATATCCAAAACTTTTGTATTTATATTAGATCCTTTGCAAATCATTTCACAGGCGTTTTTATTACTCTTGACACTGTGTTTTATAGTAAAATATGTATTTGTAACCACTTGCGAGTTCATCATGCTCCATCTGTTGACGGAATTGGAAAGCTCGTAATCAAATATGATGCGTGTGATCGCGATAAGTCTTGTTATAATACAAAACGAATTTCGGAGCATAAATTTTTACATTTCCTACAGAAGTATAACTCATTTTTAAAATCAATTGGCAGCTGCGTAAGAAAAAAAAAAGACTGTTGCATCTTTCGAATTGCCTTTTGTTGAAGAAAAATCAAGCACGAATATGTGAACTATTTTTTACATCATTCAGGATGTATGAAATTTTGTTAATTTGCCAGAAACGTCATAATAATAATCATAAGTACAAGCACACGAAAGTATTATAAGGCAACAACGAGCGAGACGTCTACGAGTACGACGACGACGACGAGGGAAGAGAGGGAAAGAGAGGACGAAGTCTAAGTGGTGAAGAAAGGAGGTATAAAGGCGTTAGGAGGAACATAAGGAGCTGCTCGCAAAGGAAGAAGGAGCGCAATATATATGGTACACACACGCGCGCGCACTCACGCGCGCCATATATTTAATAGGAAGCTCTGTGCTGCTGCTGCAGTGTGCGGGTTAAAAGACATTCGCGAAATACGCGCGGAGGTACGGTAGGGGAGGGACTACAACTACTACTACGTACTACTGATTCCGAGCAAGGCCGACAGGTAACGCCACCGTGCGCCGAGGTGGTCGCCGGGGAAATTACGAATGTTATACCAACTATACACTACGCCGTATAGTACTCTCACTCCGCACAAACATGACTCGAGCTCGCGCGAGTAGCACAGCCTGCCAAGATATGCATGAAGTTCTCTATTACTATCCGCGTGTACGCGCGCTAGCGCATATAAAAGCCAGGGGTTCTCTGCTGCTGCTGCTGCTGCTGCTGCTGCTGCTCTGCACTGCGTGTACGCAGCCGGATCTTGGAAAATCGAGCGGCGGCGCTTACTATACCTTCTTCGGGCTTTGCAGCTAACACAATGAATTATGACTTGACGCGAGGAGAGAGGCGCGTGTTTTACGATTTTACCATTTCATGATTCACCAATGCAAAAATAATAAATGCCGAAGAAGAGGAGGAGGGAGACGGTGAGGAGGAAGAATTATTGGAACCTCGAAGATCGATTTTTAATGAATAGTGAATATTTTACGAAATTTGACATTTTAACTCGCCGTGAGGCGTACAATAGATTATATACCACCAAATTGACGTGAATCTATACGCGCGCAAGGCAGGACATGTTCACTGCGCGTACAGTTACGGCGTACTGAATGCGTATGAAAAGATAAAAAAGATGCAAAAAGATTGAGGTATGTATATGTACGACGAGCTATGTATGCAGCAACAGCAGACGCGCAAAAGAGAGAGCAGCAGCGATCGAGCGATTGGGAACCTCTGCCCCGCGTATTATTATTCTGTAAAATGCATGACTTGCGAAGACATCAAAACCGTGTTGTACAGTAGCGGCGGTAGGAGCGCACATAATATGACATCGACGACGACGACGAGACTAACTTGCTTTGCGCAGCTCTTTCTGATTTAAGTATCCCCCAAGACAAGCGCATACGCACACAAGCTCTCTCTCTCTCCTCTACTTCTCCTTTCTAAATCTTCCTTATTTATTGCAAATGGATTCGGTTGATGGCCCAGATGCATGGAGAAAAAGCTCTCCTCTTCTCGAGAGTATGCATTCTCTCTCTCTCTTGCTGTCTGCTGTTACTGCTGCTGCTGCTGTGCACGCATGTAAGTTTCGCGTTTATAACGAAAACAAGTCGTTCGCTGTACATGGTACGATATACAGTGTGTGTGTGTAAGGTAGCATATTCTCTCCAGTTTTTGCCCCGGTGTGTGTATACACGTGTGTAATATATACAGACACTATTAGCTTCTGTTTTGCAGCTTTTTGGTGCTCGTGTTTTGTACACCACTGCCGCTTATTCTGCATGCGCCTCCACGACTCGCGTGCAAACGAAAATAAAAAAAAATAAATAACAAAAAACAACGATAAAGGGCGCAGGAGAAAAAATGAAGTGGTTCTCGGTCGCTGCTGCTGCTCGTTTTGTTCACTTTTTTTCCTTCCTCCTCCTTTTTTTTTATTTTAATGCCTGTAGCGCGGGAGGGCCGTCGCGCGCGGACCCGATATAATACACCCGAGTATGTATAAGTGTTCGAGAGGCAGAGAAATTATAACCGCATACTTGCTTGCCGTTGCTGCTGCAGCTCTGTGGCGAATAAATTATATTTGTTGCTCGGGTGTTTTTAGCCAAAGCCAAAGCGCCGACGACGAGCCGAGCGCGCGATATTCTGAATTAGTTGCCGATTCATTATTCAAGCAATGCGCGCGGCCAGAAGCAGCAGTAGCTTTTCTGACGATCTTTTAAAATTCATGAGCGTAGCAGCAGCAGCAGCGATACGTATATATAAGCGAGGATACGTATGTATATAACTGAACCGAGCAATGACGATGCGATGATCGCTTTCTGACTTTCGGGGGAAAGGGAAAAATGCCCTGCGACGATGTTAAAGCCGCGCGCGCGCTTGAGCTTTTATCGTCATAAATCGTCTCTGCGCGACTTTTCTACGCCAGCAGCATCTCGCAATTTTCGGCCTCGCGATCCTACTTAAATTACGACGACCAAAAAGGCACTTGATTAAATAATCGCTACGGCATACGTACCTATCAACGGAATCTTCCGCGAAACGAAAAATGATCGTAATTATAAGAGGACCGAGCGATATTTCGTTCTGCACGGGAGGCTTGGTGGTGTTTTTTTTTTTTTTTTTTTTTTTTTTTTTTTTTTTTTTTTTTTTTTTTTTTTTTTTTTTTTTTTTTTTTTTTTTTTTTTTTTTTTTTTTTTTTTTTTTTTTTTTTTTTTTTTTTTTTTTTTTTTTTTTTTTTTTTTTTTTTTTTTTTTTTTTTTTTTTTTTTTTTTTTTTTTTTTTTTTTTTTTTTTTTTTTTTTTTTTTTTTTTTTTTTTTTTTTTTTTTTTTTTTTTTTTTTTTTTTTTTTTTTTTTTTTTTTTTTTTTTTTTTTTTTTTTTTTTTTATAACACCTATGGTACCCTGGCGGAAATTCTAAACGGTTTACGACAACTTTTTGGCCAACTGGAGAGTTTCTCGATGCTCCGCGCGACATTGAAAATCGTTCGGTGTAATTGTCGTAGAAAGGTGTGGAACCAATGTTATATACTCCGAATTATTCATTTGTTGTCGCTTGTTGCATAGGGGTAGGGTAAAAGGAAGTATAATGTCAAAGAAGTATGATAATAAACTTACAGTTTTTATTGGAATCGCCGATGATGGTGGTGTTGCACACACAAACACAGTACAATTGATTTACACAGTTACTCTTATGAAGCTACTCGAATTATATGCATACAATGCATTTACAATATAAACGATATTTTATAAACTTTGATTGAGTTGAGTGATTACAAGACTCGACACGTATAGTGTGCGATTTCGTAGATGTGAAGGAGAGCTGATCCTCTCTTACCGTAGCTTATATACGCCTAAATTTGCCCCCGCCCTAGCGGTGCAGTCGGTATGTAGTCGGCTCGATATGTGTCAATAATTCACACATATCTTGCGTGCGCGTGTACCTTACAAAACCCCAGGGCCACACTCTTCCCGAAATCGGTGGAGCCGCCGTCACTGCAGTTTTATAGGTTTTTCCCGATATTCATTTATCTCGCGACAGCGAATGTACATTTTTTTGTCGTGCGAATTGTAGTTTTACAAACGTTTAATTAACAGAGACCTCAGAAGTAGGTGATGGTTTTAGGCCGTTCAATTCAGCATTGTTCACGCTGGCTGCGCGTGTCCGAAATGATGTTACTCTTTAACTGTCGTGTGTGTCATCGAAGTTATGCATAGAAGATGCGTGAGATATATTAAATTGTAATTCGTGCGTAACCGCACGCTAGCTGCTTCTCGCAGTTTTATTAATTTCTTTTTCATTGGAAAAAGTTACGTCTTAGACTGCAACACCAATATCGAGAATTAATTGGAGAACTCTGACGCTGCTGCTGCTTATACATTTACTTTAACTTTGCCACTTGCGGATTCACCGACTGTACCGGTATTCGCCATCTAGTGGTGGATAGTAGCACTACTGAATTGATCGAAAACTAGTCCAAATTTTTCGAAACAATTAAATTGTCATTTTCAAGTCATTTGAAATACACTTGATATTTGTGGATAATTGTAATATAACCCCCGCAAAAATAATTTAAAACATTTTAAGTAGACACGTTTTTATTAGTTAGACTAATATTGATATTGAGGATTTTTACCAGGGCACTCGTCATAGCATCAGAGCAGAGAGAAAAATTGACTCCGCTGCTGGTGAGCGGGAAAGATTAATTTTCAATGAAAGCTCGTTAAATTTGATTAACGTTTTTTTAAACAAATGAATTTCGCTGACAATTTAATTAACCTTACGGAGGTCCCATAGATTTAAATTTTTTTACGCATTGGAAAAGCCGATATTATATCGAATATCTGTGTCTGATTACGGATATAAACAATACACTTTTCCTAATTAATAAATAAGAAATCAATCTTTGAGAGTAAATTTGATTTTATATCGTGTATATTGTAATGTGACAATAATTTGTAATTATTATTATCAAAAATGAATACAAAATCAAATAAATGTGCAACTTACTCACCCTGATAGTTTTGCCAGAAAGCCGAGGCTTGACTACCGATGAGGTCGAGGCCACTGTATCCCCATCCGGGCTTCTCCGGGGTCACCGGTTGCTGCTGCTGTTGCTGTTGCTGCTGCTGCTGCGTTTGCGATTGACTCTGCTGCTGCGTCGAATGCGTCGTCGACGACTGACTCTGCTGCTGTCCCTGTCCCTGCTGCTGCTGCTGCGTCGAGGATCGACTCGATTGCGACGAGTCTCGGTACTGCTGCTCGCTCCGGTCGCCTCGCTCCTTGTCGCGTTTGTTCTGTTCCCGCTGCTGCTCGCGCTGATCGCGCTGTTCGCGTTGCTGATCGCGTTGCTGTTGCTGCTGTTGTTGTTGCTGCTGCGTCGACGACGAGGCGTTCGACGAGCGTCCCGAGGCCGGGCCCGGATGCGGACCCGAGTGCGACGAGTGCGCCGGCGAGGCGTCCGCTGGATCCACGCTGCGGGATCTGCGGCGCTGCAGCGTCTCCAGACTGACGCTTTCTGCAAAATACAAAATCGTACGCCGAACTTTGTGAAATCCGCTGCTACTGCTGCTGGTGAAAGCTATTGTAGATCTGAGCTTACGACTTCGCGCCTATGGCTGCGCTATAAATATTACGAGTCGCAGAGCCGTTAAGATGCAAATCGAGCAAGCGCAATGTAATTATACAGTTGGCCGCTCGAGGAGAAAGAGAGAGAGAGAGAGTACAATGACTTTTTTCTTGATTTATGAACGTAATATCAACGGGCATTTATCGTAGGCTACACAGAAAATAGTTGTATCCATTCTACTGGAAAATGCTCGATTGTAGATAATTATTTTTTTTTAAGTATTCAAATTTCATTATGTCTCCGCGAGTACAGTAAGTAAATCGAAACTTGCTAAAAGATCGTATCGATTTTTCAACAAATAGGACGTTATATAAAAGTATAACAAAATTTATTATGCATTATGTTGTACTGCTCGATGAACTTTTTTCCTAATAAAACAAAACAAGATCAACAAAGCGGCAGTGGTTTGGATCGGTACAGGGGCACTGAGCTAATATCGACACTTTTCGAGATTGTAATTAACGACCTTAAAACCGCTCGTTGAATTAATTGCAATGATAAGTTTAACCGAGGAGAGCCTAGAACGAATAAAGATTTTAAAGGTACAGCCTCAGAAGGGGGAGAAGGGTAAGAAGTACACAGCCGACGATTATTGCAAAATAATAAATGTATAAAAGCTCTCTCCCGAAAGTAACTGCTGCCGCTGCTCGTCAACGCGCAAAATCTTTTTCACGTGGAAAACCCGACGAACCCGACGAACGAAGAAGAAGAAGGCGAAGGGAACAAAGTTAATAAGTAGATAGGTTTAAGGCGTTTTTGACGAGAAAGAAACTCACACACAGCAGCGAATGTACATTTGGCAGTCTTACTCTCTCTTTTCAGTTCGGTTTTGCCGGCGCGCAGCTCGTGTTTGATTTAAAGTTAATATCGTGACTGGGGCTGACAGGGTTAATCAGTGAAAGAGAGAGAGAAAAAGGACTCGCAAATAAGGTAGTGAGCGCGAGCAAGACGAAAATGCCATATCGGAATAAGAGATTTCACTCAAAGGGTTTCACGTTTGAGTTTTGCTAGTGACAGGGAAAGGAGGGGGCGGGAGGAGGAGGAGGAGGAGGAAAGGGAGCAACGAGAACGAGTATATATAATATACTCGGCTCGAGTAATGTTGTAAGATCGCGCAGTATGTATACATATTACAGCGTTTTCGTTCGAAGAAAGATAGAGAGAGAGCTAAACTCGCGGCAATTAGGTGCAAGGATGTTGTATATATATCAACATTGTACATACTTTATACGTATCGTTATTATTCTGATTATGTGGCTGTGCGTGCGTGTGTGTGCACGAAAAGGGTTGAAGCAGACGTTGAGTTTTGATCGCTCTTTTGCCTACGACGACGACGAAATAAACGCAAGGCATGTGTGTTTACGTTGACTTGACTCTTCCACACTCTCTCTCTCTCTAAGAAACTTCTGATAGATTTCTCTGCTACATACAACGGGAGCCCTAATGTGACATTGATGCGTCGTCGTTGCGGCGCATTCTCTCTTATAATACTCGCGACGAGTTATGCCTGTCATCATCTCTCTCTCTCACTCGCTCGACGGCGGCGGCGGAAAGCTTTCCTCTCCTGTGTTGTTATACGTACCTGTGATTGCCCTGATCTGTTCCGGCGTAGCGCCGGTGGCTTTCAGCGCCTCCTCCAGCTGCAAGCGACGCTTCGTCTCGAGCTCGAGCTGGTCCTGCGTCTGCTTCCTGGACCGTCGCTCCCTCTTGAAGCGCTTCTGATAGATAACTGCAATCAAAGACAAAGAAACGAGCGATTAATTTCAGAAAATGAAAGTATTACATATAGCTACGGTCAAAGACCCGTATTGGTTAAATATATAAACGAGGAACGATTATATGTGGTCGGGTAACATTTCGACACCTTTACAACGACGACCGCTGAGGACTCGATGTATGGTGCGCAACGCACGAGGTTCCGCGGTAGGTGGTACGAGAATGTTAATACGGAGACGACCCCCTGAGGTGAGAGCAGCAGCAACAGCTCGACGAGATCGCGACGGGCTCCCGCTTGTATTGACTCGTCGCTATGCACGCGGGCTGCTACCGTATTATATTCACCAACGACGTGTACGCCACGACGAATTTGCGGTGCAATGCATATATAATAATATAACGTTGCGTTGTGTATTTCGACAATCGCAGCGCAGAGCTCGCAGGGTTTGATCGATCGATCGATACTCGCAATAATACCGATCGGCTCTCGTCGCTTCCGTGAGTAGTTTACGTTTTATTATTATTATTATTATTATTATTATTATTATTATTATGTATATCGCTGCAGTCGTGTATTGTATTAGCGAAGGGCAATTATATATTGGATGCGACACCGGTCATTTATATTCCTGACGATCAATGACATTGGACGTTGGGCCTAAATAAGATTTTAATGGGTCGAACGAGTGACGATTGATTGATCGATCGATCGTGATTTGCAACTCGTATTACTTGAGTTGCTAGGTAAAATTGCTCGACATTAATTACGGCCTAATGACCGAAAAAGAATCGTTTGAAATGTTTTAAAATACGTTACCAATAATTGGCTAGTTTACGACATATACGTTACAACTATTGATATACGTACTGAAAATTATCATTTCGTACTGTTTCAAAACATTTAGGCAACTTTAAATACGATAATTCCACTTTGAAATTCTGCCGCTAAGTGGCAAGTATACTTTTGTCTGTAATTCTGCAAGTGGCAAAGTTAAAATAATTACATAAGAATAAGTCAAATTAAATGAAACATCCATATTATTCTTACTAATTCAACTAATAACCAATAGTATAACAATAATGTGATTTTAATGTATTCGCGCCTGCAAATTTCTACCCATTTGAGATACCCATTCAAGTGTACGATTTATTCAAAAAATGTATAATTTTTCTTTTGTTTTACTACTGAAAATTCGCAAAACCAGCCAAATAATTTTGTCCCAGTGAATCATTGCGTATACAACACAATTCACCATATCCGGCAATTTTATTGTTAAAAAAATTATATTCCACTCGTCGTTGAGTCTCAACTCGTTCCTCCGACTCTCGTAACGCAAGTCATTATAAATCAAACGACAGCATTTTACGTCGCGTCGCGCGAATCATAAAACGTCAACCGCACACGCGGCCGTGATTGTTTTTTATCCGTTAATTTCCGCACTCGTATTATTATTTTTTTTCATAAAAGAAGAATATAATAATCGTTCGATGGCAATCGACTTGTTGCGCGCGGCATTACGTTTTGTATCTATACGTAATACCTCGTGGAAGCGCTTCGAAGATGTACAAGAAATTTAAGTCGGCGAATGAGAATTACCTCTTTTTTTCTTACGATAACCTGTCGAAGCTGACTACCGCAGGTATATGCACATACAATAAAAGAGAACAAATCTCAGCATCGTGTATTGCGTGTATATGTACACGTAAGGCTTGTGCCGTGAGCAAAAATCATATTCATGCTACTACCCACACACGTATACACCGAGGAGAGCAAATCAATCAGAAGTATTAACGCTGATCGCCTTCGATGCTAGATCGAGCGTAGACATCAGAAGCTACAGCGGCACTTTTCTGATTCACAATGTGTATTATAGCGTGTGTGTGCCTTCTCGCACTTAAATACTACACGGCAGCGGCAGCAATACATATTCCATGCACGTATAGGCAAGAGTTGCAGCGAACGTTCGGCGTGCATATAAGAGAGTAAAATTACTCTCGCCGATACACTAGTAGTATCTCGCTTTTATCGGAAAGCTCGAGTACACATATACGCGCGGCGGTGGCGGCGGCACGTATTAACCGGCCACTGCATTTTCTCATTTTGCTTCTTCTTTTTTTTTCGCGTTTTTTTTCATTTTGTGCAGCGCGCACGCCTGACGATCATGATGATGATGATGATGATGAGTATAACGTCGGATTACCTATACACCATCGATTCGATTGACTGCCTTCAGCGACTCGCTGCTTCTTTGGCGGTTGTGTGTGTGTGTGTGTGTGTGTGTTGCGCACCTTCGGATTTATACATATGGATGTGCTGCTGCTGGATGCATGCAATATCTTCGCTCGGCTTTGTTTTAATTGTTTTTTGCGTGTATATAAGAGCGCGTACAAACACGCAAAGTACTATATATTGTAATACGAGATAAATTCTCCGAGTTTACGTACTTTTTTTTCATGTAGCTCCTTAAACTCGCAGTGGAAATTGACATTGAAAATGTTATAATTACCAGCTATGCGCATCCTCGTACATATACGAGTGAGCTATGATTGGGCATATTTTAATAACAATCATATAATCGATCGCATATACGCGCTGAAACATTTCCACATTATTTATCTTTCGCGATTTTCTCAGCTGATTCTCTCTTTTCTCCTTTTTCCAATACATTATTATTTTCCAAAGTTGCTGCTGCCGTGAGCGCAGCGCAGTAGCTCTCGGTAGTTTACGGGCTGACCGTACAACGACGAAAAAGAAATTTGCGTGCCTCGACGAAGAAATGCACATATTTTATATACAATATAGTATTGAAGATTAGTCATGCACTACCGTATACATGTAAATGCACGTGTATACATATGTGCGTGTGTATATACACGTATACTCATGACAAGCTGTTATGGACGCGGTAGCGTAGGTGTCCCCCAAGGCGATCATTGTGCATCCGCAGCGCTGCGGTGCAGTGAGACGCTTTTCTCGCTGCTGTAGCTGTTGCTGCAGAGCTGAGAACAGACAGCAGCCGCCGCAACCGTTTCACTATTGTACAAGATGAGCTTGTACACCTTCGTGCATAACGAGATACATATATACACGTTGTGCTGCGCGGTGTGTTATGCTTATACATATCTGACGGCGATTTAATGCGTGTTTTTCTTTCACGATGATGATACGAGTTCGGCTTCTCTGCTGCTGTTGCTGCGAGCCGAGCCGCGCGAGGAAATACAAGTAGCTGCTTGCTTGCCAACTTTCATCCGCCGCGAAGGAATGTTATCTTCTCCCTCCTCTCTCGCTCCGACGATTTTGTTTTATTAATGCTTAATCGTGAGTTGGCATTTATCGAATGTGTTTTTGATTTAGTTGGATAGTATATAAAAATTATTGATTTCAGACGGAATTTCTTGCAAAATCTGGTAAATATTTCTACAAGTACTTGATCAAATGTTTTAGTAAAAGTAAAATTTAACGGACTGGGTATTTCAGTCGACACACGAAGACAATCACAGAACAAATTCGATTAGGTCAAAAAATTGTTATAATAATTCATTATTTTAGCTCGTTCTAAAGTGTATAAGACATTACATTTGATCGTGTGTTTACAATTTGACTGTCTCTTGCCATCTTGCGTTTGACGCATTAACTAAGCCTGCCTGCTATCGGCTAACATCAAAATGTAAATAAAAATAAACAGAAAGCAGTAGTACTTTGACATTTTTATAGGCTTTTATTCATTCCTTGAGTACAATAACTGTAAATACTATTGTTAAATTTTATAAATATTTCAAGATTCATAAAATCTTGAAAAAATTTGCATCAAAATTATCTTAAATATGTGATGATTTAATGGACATTTTTCAACATTTCGATTCGACATTTCCTACTTCCCAGGTCATTAGAATTTTTTCGAATTTTACCCGGATACAGTTAAAACCAATTTTGACCTTAAATATCAAAGCTGGCTATATCTATTCAATCATAGTCAGCAGCTCTTGATTTTTGAGTGTCGACAAAAAACTAAAACAAAAATCTGTCGACATCCGTGTCCATCAATGATTCGGGCTTATTTAGAAATTTAAATTTTCTTTCAAACTTCCATCAATTCGAGTCTGCTCGATAGAAAGCCTTTCCAAAAATGTTTTCAAAAATTGAACCATACACAAATATAACAGAAAAAATCCTGACATCCAAGACGACCCCTAAGGGGAACGAAAAAAGCCACAACGGTAATTTCGATTTAATCAACCAATTAGTCATCGTGTGGAAACCGAGTCTCGAATCGCATGCGCTGTGCACATAAACTGTGATTGATTCTCGTGCTTCGTGTAGACAGTCGCACATAAGAGCTCGGACAATCTTCGGCGAATTCTTACACATAAAACTGCATAAATATCGACAGAGAGACGCGTTGCAGTCAGGCACGATCGTCTCTCTCTTCCTCCTCGAGTGTGCCCAGAGAAACAATCCGAGCGCCGAAAGAAATAAAAAAAAAAAATAAATAAATAAGGGAGAAGCAAGAAAAAAAAACGAGAGCGATTAGCGTACGCTTAAAGCTTCTCTCTCTCTCGCTCTCTCGTGCTATCATCCGCACCGCACCGTTTATCCCCTGAGCTTGTGTGCCGTGCGCTGCTTCGGCTCACGCGTTCGGAAATGTGCCGAATATTTACTCTCGAGGAGTTTTTCGTATCCCCGGGGCGATACATAATCTCTTGAGTTATTTTTTTTTGTTTTATTCTTTCTCGGGGGCCTTTCTTTTATCTCATATTTTTTGACTGTTTGATTGTGCGCGCATCGTGGATGCACATCGGCCGATTTCTCTGAATGGGCGCATTGGCCTCGTGCAATTTTCGGGGTAAATTAAATCGGGCGCACGCGCGTAATTTTGGGATTGTAAATTAGTTTCCGTCCAAAACGCAATTTTCGATAAGCTGGATGCGAGACAAATAAATAAAAAAGAGCTTGAATTTAAATGCGGGTAAATCGATCGACGAATTTTTCTGCGTGGTCGGTAAAATAGATTG